TGAGGATTTAGCTTTAGCTTGGGCTATGATTAGTGTTGTTGAGAGCCATCTAGATGCCCTTGACTTTGTGTCCCTGAATACAATTCAGGGCTCAGTAAAATACAAAGCCTTCAAGCACAGACCCAATCCTGGGTCTTACAGTTAGGAGCAGCAAAGCTGGATAAAGGTGCCACTGGAATATCAGGGCTGACTGGGGAGCTGGCAGAAGCTCAGTAAAGTTGAAGAAGGTAATAGGGGTGTGGTTTGAAAGGTCACATTATCCATCCCTGCAATCTACCTGTGCTTTGAATAAAGGGCAGTTCTTCCTGACTAGGCGAGGGAAAGCATGGGGTGCTTGGAGTCAGTTTTGTGTGCTGATAGTGTGCAGAAGACGGTGGCAGTTTGTCCTGGAATTTATTTTCAAGGCCAGCTGCAGTGACACTAGTGACCTGCTGCTGCCGTACAAAGTGCCATATTATAGTGGCACTGGCTAATTTCTCCCTGCTGTTGGAATGGAGAGCTTATTCTGTCATGCAGGTGTTGCTGCAGTGGTGGCCTAGTAGCAAGACCCAATCCTGTTCTAACCAAGGACCCAGTGTCAGAGGTGGTGTCCGTGTTGAACTTGTGGGAGACAGTTACAGCCTTGACGATGCCTTTGCCCAACTCGCAGCCGGAATCTTTCAACAGCCCTCCTGCCTTTCACCCTATTTGCATTTGTTCTTATGGGCCATGCTAGTCTTTGCCCCGTTGCTCTTCCAGATCTGTAATGATGTTGCAAACCGAAAGTCTGCGCTGTAGTTTTGAGAGAGGCTCAGGAGAAAAATGATTGCTAGGAGCTTTGCAAAGTGTCCTGTTTTGGCAGTGGGATTAGCAAAACATGCAGTACCTGCATGCCCTGAAGTTCTGATCAAGCAGGTGAAGTTTAGCGAATTAGGCAAACTGTGTTCATTTGAAGAAATGAAGCCCACTATGAACAACGTTAGGAGGGGAGACAGAGCAGAAAGAGTGGTGGAAAATGAGGCAGATCTGATCTGTAGCTCACAACAGAACTCTAGGCAGGCTCTTTGTGAGCATCCCTGATCCAAAGATAATGAATGTTGCTGCAGATTGGTTAAAAGAGAAGAGGTTGGTTTTGTCTGCCCTGTTCTGCGTCCTTCTACTTCCCCCGTCTCCCTACAGCTCCAGCTTAATCTGGATGGTTTTGAATTCCTTCTGTGTTGGCCTTGTCCGAGCCAAACACAAATCCTTGTCATTCCTCACCATGGACCCTGTAATGTAATATGCCTGCTAAGATCCTTCCCCTACCCCTGTTCCTATGCCTGTTCCCCTTCACTGGCTTCAATTACAAATTCTGGGAACTTTTCCCTTGCTCACAGCCATCTATGTGTCTGCAGATATTAGCTATCAGATCTGCGTGATGGAGGGGAGCTCATACTGAGGCTGCATGCTTCCTATGCTTCGGTGCTCTCTCCGTAGAGGATGCCGTTGATGCACATGGCAAGGGTATTGGTCTAATTAATTTTACAACAAATCAGCAGATAGCAATAGTTCTGCCTGGTTTGTGCTCCTTGATTGATTGTCTTTTGCCATTAATAAGTCCACGTAGCAAAACTCAGGTTCTTACACGGATGTTCAGAATTCCCTCCTTTGAACAAGATGTTTGTGCAGTGAAAACTCCGTGCTTCCGTTTTTCTCTGCTCAAATGAGGTCTGGACGTTACTCGTGTGTACACAGTCACCTGCTAATGTGAAGATACCAGAAGGCAGTGGCATGGCTCTTGTCAGAGGTACCATTTGTCTAAAACGTGTGGTGTTACCTCCTAGTCTCATGAGGGAAATGTGCAAGTTTCTTGTGCAGACATGGAAAGAAAGTTATGACAAAGTGCCTTTTGGTGGGAAGAGGGAACTGTGAGAAGTTGAATGCATGTTCTCGGTCTCTTTTGCACAGGGATATGAATTTCAGCATCACAGTGCTGAGCATTACAGAAGTAAAAAAGGCTGAATGGTAACAAAAACGTACAGCATTTTCCGATTTCCATTGCTGGTCTGTTAATTGAAAGACTTGCTGAACAACCAGGAGAAAAGCTCTCTTGTTGAAGAGTCAGCACTAAAGCTAATATCATTGATCCAGTTCCTTGTGGTCACTGACCTAACCTGTGTTCAGGACCGTAGTCTTTGCTAACATGATACTGGAAAATACTGTGACTAGTATGGTAGGGTACTCTTCTTTGCATTAAGATGTGCAAGTGGTGAAATTAAGGTGTTTTTAAATGACATTTGTGAATGTGATAAGTGAAAAGCCTGCATCAGAGCCAGATATGGTAAGACACATCCAGAATGATTTATGGGATGGCAGAGATACTATTAGTGGCAAAGCATTTGGTTCAGCTTGACATGAGATAAATGCATCTCTTGGGTTAGATGCTATGCTGAGAGTCTCTGAAGAGCTCGCTTGAGTAGGAAGCTGGGTCTCAGGTATTTTGATAGGTAGGAACCACCTCTGAAGTCTGAATGCAGCCAGGTGTCTGGGCTCGGGGTTTGACAAGGTGGATGGTAGCCTGTTCTGTACCGCTGGCAGAATGGTAACGTATGCATCTAGGTTGGACAGAGCCTTGCGGTATTGGTGAAGGCTGCAGAATACAGTAGCGCAGGGAAGTGGCAATTTGGGAGTCTGTGGGCTGGAGCAGTGTTCCAGGTAGCTTTTTCTTCTTTCCATGCAAAAACTGGATCCTATTGCTTTGGGTTGCAGAATCGCAATAACTATTCTGGAGGTTCACTTTGGTATAAGGTTTTTAAACATTCGCTACTCTGGTTGCTCTGTTGACCACACTAGGACTTGCTCTTTCCTGGAATCCTGCCAACTTTTGTTCTGAAGAGTGTCTGGTAGCAAGGAGTTCATTGGAAGGGGAGGAGAAATCACTTTTCAGGTTGGAATTTGTCATCTTGTGAGTACTTTGAGACAGGAGGACAGATTTATCAGTTAATCACCAGCAGGCTCTTTGCCTTTCATTCTTCTATGTGCCTTCATCTCTTCCCTTCTCAGTTCATTCCATCATAGTCTCACAGAGAGCAGCAGAACACAAAGATGTGTGTGCAGCTGCCACCCCAGTTTGCTGTTTGCCACCTAAACAAAACCAAGTCCTGGACAGAATCAAAAGTCAGATCCAGCAAGCTCTCACTTAAAAACAGAAACCAGCCTTAAGCCTCTGAGAGTTGACTTGGCTTTGCGATGGGATTCTGAGCCACCGTATGTGTTTCTGTTCCACTCCTTCTTGCTTACAGTTGTGTAGAGTAAAACTGTGCGCAAGGCACTGCAGCCTCAACAGTTAAATAATAATGATCAATTAAGGGCTGCTTTATGTCTTGTAAGGAAGCCTACGTTTTATACCTCCTCCTGAGAGCTGCCTCCTTGGTTTGTCAGACAGGCAATCTGTAAGCATCTTGACCTTATCCTCTCCCTGTGCACGTATGCATTCTCTGCCTAAACAGAAGCAGTATTTGGAGCTCTTCAGTGCTGTCCAGGAAAAAGACCATTTGAGTGTGTTCTCTGTGCAGTTGGCACCTCCGAAAGAGCCGGTAGTTGGCTTTGAGACAGTTGGTAACTCAAGGTAGCTTGCAACTCAGCAAGTACCTTCCACCCTTTTCAAACCACAAACCCCTGGTAGAGGTTCTAGCTATGGGACAGTGTTTTGCAACAGCCTGAAGGTCCATCTGGTATTTTAACTTCCAGCTGGCAGGCTGGGCGAATGTCCCAGAACCCTTTTGGAAAGTATTGACATGGAGCCTGTGCCTTCCAATTCTTTCTTCTTCATCTGAAGGCATAAGAAGACTTGGAGCTGAATTGTTCCTCCTTGTTCTCATTTTCTCTCCTGGGCATGGTCTTACAAATAACTCTTTTGTTTCAACTCACTGTTAGTTAAAGTGATTATTTTTTAGGTCATGGGGAGATTCAGGGGAAGACTGATGCTTTGGTGCTGCTCAGTGGTGGCACAGAGGCCATATTATTGTTAAATTTCCTTTTTAAGAAAGTTGTTAATTTTTTCCCTTTTTGAAATGTGGGTGCTGCCTAGGGAGAAGAAAATGTTATTTCTGTCCAGACTGAATAGTAGAGCACCCAGGAGCTTGAAGCTGTTGTCATGCTTCTGTCAAAGCTTCTCTCTTCCCACTCGGAGCAGCGTTTTTTCTGGACCATCCAGCCCATCCAAACAGCTGGACTAATGTCTTCTGTCCTCACCTACAGATTCTTCTGTCCTGCCACAGCATTACAGCCTTGTCACCGCCAGTTGCCTTGTCACCCTACCCTTGAGCGAAGACAGGCCTCAATCGTGTGCACAGTTGTTAGGCAATACAGTTTTGGGGCATATGGGCACAGACCATGCTGTCATCTTCCCTGCCTTGGGGGATACAGCCTCCTGCCCCTAGTAGGCACCTTTGCTTGCAGTGCTTGTAGTGGCTGATTCCTGTGTTTCCAGCAGGAAACAAGCAGGCAGGAGAAAGTAAATGACTGCCTCTGGTTTTGTGCAATATGTGTTGAATGTGGCCTTCAGATGACCCTGTTCATCTTAGGAATAGCAAGCGTGTTTTTTCCATACACTTACTCTGCCCTTTCTCTGACAAAAGTTTTCTGTATCTCCTTTACTTTTTGTTAGTGTTAGTTGTGCCTTATGGAGCTATGCAATTTGTCAGTTTAGCTGTAACTGACCATGAAGTTGTCAGCCTGCTGGTTGTCCCCAGTGAAGGTGACAGCAGCATTGGGTTGGAGAGGTGTTCTGCATGGCTACATTTGCCAAATTGCTGGCTGTTTGCAAGTTCAGCTTAGTTTTGCTGTTGAATCCTGCAATCAGAGGAAGCTGTCCCCAGTCAGTTTCACAGATTACTGAGAGCACTTCAGACCAAACATGGAAGATCACAACTTCTTATTCGTTCTACTCACTTGCAGTTCATCTGTGATTTATACTCCTCTTGCAGGTGGGAGAGCCATTTGAGATGTGATTTTAAACAATTTTTTGTTTCTTTCTTTAGGGGACTGGAGTTTTGGGAGCTGGAGTTCAAGAGCAGATCATTTCTGTACCGACAGGTAGTGTCTAGCGCTGTATTTGGCACATGCTTTGTTTTCAAGGACCAAAACATCACATATAAGTATTGGTCAGTTAAGCAATGTTGCATCCCTTGTAATGCCATCTCTGTTGCAGAGCTGGTGTCGTAGCTGTATGACACTTCAGAGAGACCCAGTATGAGAGGGGTCAGGTTCCTTATTCTGTTTGGCCCGGTAGAACCAGACTCTCTTAAGTTCATGACTTCAGTCATTCATTTTAGACACAGAATCTGGTGGGAGGATGGAAAACTTTGTTTTCTGTGAGTTTTCTTACCTTGTCCTTGCAATCTTGAGTGGAAAAAAACAGGAGACGTACATTCTTGCTCCGCTGAATGGCACTGGGCCCAGTGAAGACTGCCTGGAATTTTATTTTCTGGCTTCAGAGCGTGAAGTAATTCTTAGTGCTGCACAAAGGAGAGATGGGAAGGCCAGATTCGGCTATGCAGGCACAAGTGCAGGATCCTTCCCTCTGTCATACTGCCTAGGCTCCACTCTGTTTGCTTTGAAATAACTCCAGCGGGGTTTTTGCTGCTGTCCTCAGGAAGACATCAATGTCCACAACTTAATAGCTCACCTCATTAGGAAAGAGTATGCTGTTCTCAGTCTGCCTGTCCTGGCCATGGTCACACTCTGGAGAGTAGGCAAGAGAGGACTTGTTGTTTTTTTGGAGGAGAGAGGGGATGTTTTGTGGGAACAGCAAGCAGCTATTTTTTATTATGTTTTGACAAACCAAATTTGTTCTTATCCTGTGCCAAGTAATGCTCTGTAAGCTCTCTGACAGTGGGTGCCTGGATATGAGCAAGGGAAGAATGGCAATGTGCTTGAGAAGGGCTTGATATATAGCAGGGATTTGTTCTATCAGATGTCCTTTTGACAAGGAGAAAATGCTGGTAACCCACTTATGTATTTAGACAGGAAATGCTACTTCATGACATTGTGCAGAGAGAAACAGTTACACAGTAATGCTCAACTCTGGCTAATGCACTCTGCAAAACTTGTTTGTAGCAGCTGCGTTACCTCAAACTGGCAGGCAATAGTGAGGGCAGGAACAGGCTGCTGAACAACGTACGCTCTTCTAACTAAGCATCTGCTTCTGCCCTCTGTCAGAGAGAAGATATTAGACTAGATGGACCTTTGATCTCACCTCATATAGCAGCTATGTTAAGTATTGCCATCTGGATGAATTTTATAAGAGAAAAGGCTTGAACAGCCCCAGAAATTGTATGTATATATTTTCTCTGAGTAACATGAAGCATGGGGGAGACAGCAAGCACGTGGCATGTAGATTTCAGATCCCTGCCATTGGTCTGCCTTTACGCTGGCAAGTTCTAAGTGTGGAGACATCAAAGCATTCATCAAAGTCACAGCATGCAATGACCTCTAGTGAGGGATAGATCAAACGCCGTATGTCAAGGATCTGTGGTGGTTCTTTGTGCCATCAAAATTGCTTAAAGGCAGGCTTTTGACACTCCATAGCACAGTTTAGGATCAGAGCAGACAGGGAGAGACAGTGCTCATCTTCAGATAAATTAATCTCCTCTTGTTAGACCTTTCTGTTTTAACAGTGCTAAACCTGACGGGTTGCTTATTGGACCTTGACTTATTTGTTTGTAAGTGTTAATGGTTCGGAGACGTGGACCAATGCTTCCTTACAGCACTGCATTCAAGTCTGTGGAGGGCTTTGCATGCTGCCTCTGTGTTGTGTTTTGTTTTGTTTTGTTTTTTCCTTGAAAAGGCATAAATAGAATAAATGTATGTTTAGGCCAAATGTTAACCACCAGCCTCCTATGCAGGCATGACTGATCACACCTGCACAGGTAGGGAGGTGTTCTCACAGCAGCACAAGGAGATGAATCAGATAGGACAGCATCTGCTTGACCAGTTTTCTTCACTTAGTCCTAGTATTGCTGTTGCTTGTAAAATATAGTGTTGCCAGCAGGTCGAGGGAGGTGATTCTCCCCCTCTACTCAGCCCTGGTGAGGCCGCATCTGGAGTACTGTGTCCAGTTCTGGGCTCCCCAGTACAAGAGAGACATGGCACTACTGGAGAGAGTCCAGCGGAGGGCTACGAAGATGATGAGGGGCCTGGAGCATCTCTCCTATGAAGAAAGGCAGAGAGAGCTGGGCCTATTTAGCTTGGAGAAGACAAGACTGAGGGGGGGGGATCTGATCAGTGTGTACAAGTAGCTGAAGGGAGGGTATCAAGAGGATGGGGCCAGACTCTTCTCCGTGGTGCCCAGCGACAGGACAAGGGGCAACAGGCACAAACTGAAACACTGGAAGCTCCATCTGAACATGAGGAGAAACCTCTTTGCTGTGAGGGTGACTGAGCGCTGGCACAGGTTGCCCAGAGAGGTTGTGGAGTCTCTTTCCCCCACCTGGACGCGATCCTGTGCAATGTGCTCTAGGTGACCCTGCCTGAGCAGGGGGGGTTTGGCCTAGATGATCTCCAGAGGTCCCTTCCAACCTTGGCCATTCTGTGAAAATATGAGATTGGGGGAAGGGTTTGTCCAGTGGGGGCAGAGCAATGTAACTAGAAGACAGTGAAAGTGTAGTGGCTTGGGATCAGCCCAAACAAATGCCACACTGAGTTTCAGTGTGGCTGCTCTGTCAAATCAGCCTCAGGCTCAGTGAATCTGTGGCATGTTCCCTTAGGCTCTGTGAGCTCTCCTACCAAAATGAGTACAGACAAGCCCAAGCAAAATGCTGGCAGCTTCTGGGAGGGAATTCAGCTCTCGCCTAGCTGGGCATCATCAGGCTAGTTGGAGTTCCTTGGTTTGTGCTGTTTCTTTCCCCTCAGAGAGCCGTTTCTCGTGAGAGGACTGTCTGTACAAGCCCATTTGCTTTAGTGGCACTGGGACAAGGCCTAGCTTTCCTTTGGCTGCTGAGTGTAGGGGAAGGGAAGATGTGACAAGCAGAGATGATGTTTGAAATCTGTTTTCTGACTTGGGGGGGGTGTTGTCTCCTGGACTGTCTCGCTTACTTTCCTGGCTTTCTGAGAGAGAAAAAAGCCCCCACACTGTCCCCCACCTGAAATAGTGTTGCTTATGTAATGAGAGCGTGTGAGTCCAGCTCTCCAGGCAGACATATTGAGCTTCCTGCCATAGAGGGATGTGTGGGTGCTGCTGTTCTTTCTAAAACAGAAACCAACTCTGCTGAGCTTTCTTCCCACGTGTTCTGAGAACGAGCCTTGCTTCAAGGCGGTGCTGGGTAGCAAGAGATCACTGCATGCAGGTCCTCATCTCACTCTTACTAGTCTCTCTAGTTGCAGGGAAGGAAGACACAAAAGTAGCAGGATAATTTTGCCTGTTGCTTTCCCTCCCCTACCACTGACTTTGGTCACAAGAAGGTGCTGTTTCAGTGCGTGCTGCAGACCAGCTCAACTGCTCTGTGTTGTTGTATCACCCTGATCAGGACAGAACCTAGACAGCCCCCGCAACCCCTGCTCAAACTGTGAAGAACCCATTTCCTCTGCAGAGTGTGAGTGACTGTGTGTGCTGGGGCATGTTAGGGAGGCTAAGGGAACAGGATCTTTTTGAAGACATAAAGTGAGCGCTGCAAATGCTCCCTGGAGATATGTGATGCCAAAGCATATGTGGGCAGCCTGGACTGGCTTGAACTCTGATGGGTAGGTCTGTGCCACAAGTTGGGATACGTCAGTGGCATCTAAAGCAAGGGCCAAAGCATTCTTTATGTTGTGAAAATCCCTGCCTCTTAATATCTAGCTGGACTGGGAGCAAGGTACATGGCACTGGGAACGATCAGCCTGGTAATTAGGCTGAGAACTGTTGGTTTAATATATCTGTCTCCAGCAGCAGAACATATTGGACTCCCTAGGCCCATATTAAGAAATCATGGTGATGTCATTCTTTTCCAAGTGACAGCCACTGAACTCAGTTGGAGCTTGACTCATCCTGAGTAGTAACTGTGGGCTATTACAAAGAACAAGGTACTGCTGATGTAAAGAAGTGCAGGACTCTGGGCAGAATTTCTCCTCCTGTTAAGTTTTACAGGGGCAGCTGCTAAGTTCTGTTATCTCTCTTTGCAGGTCCGAAGAATGGTTGGGGCTCTGGTTGCAGTTGGCCAGGGGAAGTTAACACCTCGTCATATAAAGGAGTTACTGGAGATAAAAGACTCACGGGCTTTTCCACCTCATGCTATGGCTCCACCATCTGGACTCTTTCTAAAATCTGTAGAATATAATGAAGCAGGTAGGTGAACGCAAGGGAGTGCAGACGGTAACTCTTCTTCTGTGAGAGTCAGATCTAATAACGAAGGGAGCGTTAACGTCCATGATCTTTCCTTTTGGGCTCTCTGACCTGTCACTCTCAGCTTTGTCTATTGACACCCACGTTGTAGCGAGAGCCCCCAACCCTAGAGGTGCTTAACAGCTGTTCACTATGGAATAATTGTATATTTATTTCCTGGTAGATTTCCTCCTTTTACTTTCGGGCGGTAAAAGAGAAGTCATGTTGACATTGACTTTGAGATCTCAAGTGAAACATGTTTTAAATTCAAATCATAAAGCCTTGTTCCGTCCCTGGCCACGTGGCAAGACTAAATCTTCTGTGCTATCTGGGTGTCTCCCGGTTGGTTTCTGTTCACTGACCTCTCCCTTGGTTTTTATACCCACGTGACAGGGTTGCACATGCCAGAGGACAGAGACCTGGTCATCCCTTTGCTTATGTGGTGGCTGTTTTAAACAGTTTATATCAGATGCTGCTAAACTAAGTTTGTTAGCTTTTAAAAAAATGGAAAAATTGGCATATCATCATAAATGAATGTAATAGCAGTTTGATATCCCTGCTAGGGGTAGCAGGTATTCAGCGTTGCAGGAAACTTAATGCAGACAAAATGTGGGAAATGCCGTCTTGATGGGACAAAGGCAGCCTTGGTTGTAAATCAAACACAGCATCTGTGTTAGGGTCTCATTAAAGAGAAAAAATAAAAAATCATAGCAATAAACATGCTCACTTGCTGCTGATGAGACTAGCAATAATCTGCAAAAGAGAGAGATGGAGACCTCAAATTATTTTGGGGCTTTCTTAACACTAACATCTCCTTTAGCAATAGAAACACAGTCCTTTTTGTTTAAGAGAACTGAATGCCATACCTAGCACGGGGCTACATTGCATTTCTCCTGCAATGTTGAAGGTGGGATGTAATCAGGTTTCAGTAGTCCACTTCCTGTCCACTTTGTCTTTGTAGTAATTCTTCCTGAAATCACTTCCTCTCCCTACTCATCACTGCAGACATCTCTTTTTCTTCTTTAGCCTCTCACTAATCCAGTGCCCATGAAACGTGGGTACAAGGGACTTCCCACCGCTTTTTCCCCTTTCGCAGGCTGATCACAGAGCTAAGGGTAGACTTGGAGCATGCTCTCTCCTGCAGCAGCAGTATACACACTGGGGCTTAGCGAGGGCAGAAAGCAAAAGGAAGACGCAAAGAGTATTGCATTCAAACTCCTTTTGCTGCAGGGTGCTTGGCTGGGCCTTAAAGGGGCATCTGCTGCTTGCCATTTTTAGCCCTCTCCAATAGTGTTTCTCCTAATAGTGCTGTCTGGAGCTGTCTGTGCCAGTCCCTACTGGGAGGCAGTACAGGCAGGAAATGAAGACCACAGATCTTAAGTGCTTTCAGGTGGTCTTGGTGCCATTCTTTTCCCTAAATCAATGTTTTCCCTTTTCTCTCTCAGACTTGGAGAAAACGATGACAGCAGGAGAATAGCAGCTCTGTGAGACGCAGCCAGGCCTGAAAGGACTGTGGTGGATGTGTGATGGAAGCTTGCAGAGTGCTCTTTGCACAATATATGGTCTTGTCTCAATAAACATCATTCACAGTGACTGTGGGCATCCTCCCATCGTTTGTTTTTGCCCTCTGAGACTGCTAAGGGGAAAGGAAAAACAACTTGATGCTGCTTTCGGAAGTCTGCGTTGTAGTGTGGCTTTTTTTTTTTCTCCCCTATATATATTCTGGTGCAGGACCATCACTCAAACAGGAATAGAAAGCAGTGGGGTTCGTTGTTGTTGTGTTGTGTTGTTTTATTCGCAGAGGTGGACGAGTGGATACCAACTTAGAATGAGAGAAAACATAGTCTTTTCTTTCTGCCTCTTTCCTCTGTAACCCTGTCTTTATGCAGCAGAGCAGAAGGGACAACTGTGGCTATTTAATGCGGTGAGTTAGAGAAACAGCCTTAAAAGAACTTGCTATTTCCTCTCCTTATCAACAGTCACTCTATCCCCAAACTGTAGCAGCTCAAACACTACTCTGTCCCTGAGTAAAAAGTAGTCTTGCTGATAGGACATGGCATGTTGTGGAACAAAGTTCCTTTGATTTCACTTAAACCCTATTTTCTCTTTTGCAGGAACAGGGCTCTCTACCCAGTGTTAATAATCCCAGGCTGGGCTAATAGCACAGCAACAGCTATATGAATGAGTCAGCCCAATGATGAAATGAAGCACTCTTAGCAGCGGAGCCAGAAGGCGGCTGCCAGGCTGTTGCTGGGCTCTGATTTGCTTGTTGCCTCATTTTGCTCTTCCGTAGCTGGTAGTACTGTAGAGCATAGTAGAGTCCATCAGTGATCGAAGGGTGTGTGAATCATAGTGCATAGCAAGGAGCAGAGAGGATTTCTTTTTTTTTTTTTTTTAAACTACTCTTTGACCTCAAGTTTTGCCTGTTTGTCCAAGTGACAAAATAAGCATTGGATAATTTGTGTTTTTTCTCATGAATGACGCCAGAATCTGTCTGTTTTGGTTGTAAAATTACTCTGAGAATGCCAGGTTACAGGAAAGAGGGTGCAAATTTTGACTTCTGCCTTTCCCAGAAGAAACAATGCTTGCTTGAAACACTATTGATTGTCCAGCTCTCCCACAGCAGAAGCAACGTGCAGTTGAGATGCCTGGTACCACCATTATCAATTTCCCCTTTGTCCATGAGAGGAGGAGCAGAATTACAGAAAAAGCCAAACAATTTGTCAGCAGACAGCCCCTCTTTGAGCTGGTAAGAGGATGTTCTTTGTTATATGGCAGTTTGGATACAGACTATCCCATTCAGATAAATAATGGAAGAATCTTAATAGCCTGCTGAAAGATTGTGTAGTGTCCACTCTCCGCTTGCATGATGGAGAGCACAAAGCGAGGTCAGGGTGGAAGACCGCAGCTCTTTCTGATCTCTGTTAAGGCACCCTTGCCTTTGGCAGTGGGTCTGAGTTAGTGATTCCTCCTGATACAGGACAGGACAGTCCATTTCTAGGTATCCTCTGGTGAGGAAGGGATGTATCTCCTCCCCACTCCATTACAGGCAGCAGATTTGCCGAAGGTTTGCCTTTTGACAGCCTATGAAGGAAAGGCAAGACGCTTCTGCTTACTCTCTCCCTTCCTATAGAGCGGGCTGACTCCTACCTGCTTTATTTCTTCAAGGATTAATTTCCAAAGATTATGACAATTTTGGAGGAGTCCCAGGTCTCTACCACAGAAAAGGAGAGCTGAAGCTGTTGTGTGGCTTAGGTGGAACCTGTTAGTGTTTTTCTGGTAAGGCCTTGATATAAGTACCCAGAGGTAGGGATGTTTCACAATAGTTACATGCTGCAGAGCTGTGCAGCACAAGCAACAGGGCTTCTCCATCTGGATTCCAAACCTAATGTGCCCATATGTTTTTTCAGACAGTGGTTTGTCTGAAAGGGAATGATAGCTTGCTAACTCTTGCTCTTCCTCTCTTTGAGGGGAAGTGTGAGTACAGCTACTGGCCCATTTCAAAGTCTCTCAGTCAGACTGAAGTGCTAGTACCTGGTTCAGGAGAGGCAGGCCTTGCACTGCAGACTGCTGGGACTGGAGAGCAGGGCAGGCTGGAGGTAATCAAGGGTGCCTTTGGGTGGGAGCATTGTGCCACCCTGTTACAGTGGGTGCATGGGGAAAACTGAAGCATGCATGAGGGCTGGCTGCATGCTGTACTGTCACCTCAGTGCCACAAGAGGAACGCTTCAGTAGCAGGGGCAACTGCTCTGTCTTGGATCCAAGTGCTGGCTTTTCATCTTCGCTTCCTGTGGTTTCTCTCTGTAAAGCAATGTGGCAGTGTGTCTTGCAAGACAGTTTCTGTGCAGAAGAGCTTAGCCATAACCTCATGTTTGTGATGTTTTTGGAGAGGCTAGTGTACTCGTTTGCAGCTTTCACATGAGAGATCACCTGAGATGCGGTAAGTTAACTTTCTATCTAAATTTATTATGAGCCTTTACAACACAAAAAGCTGAACGAAATAGCGAGCAATGTTGTTCAGATGCTGATCAAGCTATCTCCTAGTGCAGGCTCAGATACTGGAGGGTTTTTTTCATAGATGCTGTACAGAAGTATCTGCTCTTGAGTTTTTTGTGAATGTTTCCTGACTTCCGATAACACCCAAAGCCTATCATGTTTACGGGCTTATTCTCAAATCCAATAAATGAGCAACCCAGATACATCTATCTACACAGCAGTCTAGAACTGGTGGTCACTGGCAAACTCTGCATTTAGCACTAAGTAGTGTTGGTTGGTGGGTCTGTTTGTTTTAAATCCCAGAAAAAGAGTTAAAAATAATCCAGCAGACATATTATGATGTTAAGATAACACACCCTTTACTTAAACGTACCATCAGTGGAGAAGTTCTGTACAAACTCCTAGTCTGCATTAGTTTTTCAGTTCAGCTTGAATGTTTTCTATCATCAAGGGGTACTTAACATTTTTTTTCTTTTACACTGTTGTATTACTAATTCTTTTCTTGATGCAATTTGGACTTTAAAATACATAGAGAGGTCTGTCTTTCTGATTGTTTGATGGTGATGCTTTAAAACCAAAACCAGAAAAACCTCATGCTTGACCCAGAGGTCAAAGACAAAAAGCTGGTTTTATATAAACACATTTCTGCTAGTTCACTGAACACAAAATCCAGTGGAAACTGTAAAATAAGGGACGTGTGCCTTTCTGTATTTTTGTAAATGAAGTAACTTCATACAGGAGCAGAGGTTTGGTGCTTTTTGGTTGTCAGGAAAAAATACAAGAAGTAAAACAGTCGGGGGGGGAAAAAAATAGCAACCCTGGGGAAGCAATTCTGGATTTGGAATCTGGTAGGACTCCTTGTTTTTAAGTGGTAGATAAGGTACATTGTTAGAGATGAAATGGATTATATGCTTGGAAAATTCATGTTTAATCCTAAACTGTGTCACTTTTATTACCTCTCTCATGGCGACTAAAAATATTTTGAAACAGATCAATATTTTAAATAACAGATCAATGTTTAAAATATTTTAAAACATCTGTTTTAAAACAGATCAGTTTTAAAACAGATCAATGCTGGGGTCCTGCAGTGCTAATTTAACTGTCTGGAAATGGGCAGGAGACCTACTTCTGAAATACTTTGTCACTGATTTCCCCTCCCCCCCCCTTTACTATTACTAAGGCTGTAGTTAAGCTTAAATGTGTTCATGTTACTTGATGGGGTACATCTAGGTACAGTTAACTGCTGGTGAGTACAAGTATCTCTGTGACAAGCTTCAACCATTACTTTTCTGTAAGTGAGGTATCAGAGTGGCCCGCTGCTCGTTCTAAGCATGCAAGACCTAATTTGGGATCCTCCTTCAGAGGGGGAGGGAACTGGGCAGCTCTGTCAGACTACAGACGCTGTAAGTAATAGTATTAGTAATAGCGCTGCTTGCATCGTGCAAGCAGCTCCTGTGCCTTGCCTGGCAAAAGCCTTGCAACCATATCACATGGGATATGAGTGGAATTACCTTTAGGCTGACTTTTAGCGGACTGACCACGCCAATCCCACGTGAATCAGAGTTAGCGTAAGCATATAGAAACTCTTGTCTCTAGCTTCTGCAAAATCTTGGGACACATACCTCCACAATGTAACTATGTGCTATTTGGAACAAGTCCTTTTGCTTGTTGAGGAGCTGCTATCTGATAACGTCTGTGTCTACTTACTGTGCTTGTCTTGCGGGAAACACTGGCTAATCAGTCCCCTTTGTCCGTCCAGCCCTACTGGTGATTTTGCAAGCCTCTGCTGTATCTTTCCCCAGCTGAAACGCTATTCTTTCAACCTAAAAAAGATACATGTTTGGTGGCTCTTACTCTGGAAAAGTACTGAGATAAAGGTTGTTTCAAGTTCTGTGCTTTCTGAAGTTGTGGCTTAGCACATCTAATTTAATTTTCCTGCATATATGCATGTGAACATATCTTTTTTGCCATTAGCTTACCTAAGTTTGCCTACCTAAAGTGAAACCATTTTTCCTCTCTAATCATCCATTTATAATCTCGAGTGCTTTTAACTACAGCTAGATAAACAACTACCAGGAGGAGGAGGAAGTGTGATTTCAGAGCTTCCGTTGGAAAGTACCTATAGCTAACCTTTATTTTTTTTCTGCTTTGAATAGCAGAATTTCTGCTTTCAACTTCAGGCGCTTCATCTATATTGCGGGTGGGACTAATTTTTCCACTCTATGTAGGGCTTCTATTTCGGTGTCTATGTTTGGATTAGTTCTCTAGATTTCTTTTGTCGTTGATGAGGAGAGGCATAGAGCGCTAGAGTGCGGTTTATTGCTTACGTGATGTGGGTGACCTAGGTAAAAGGTGTCCTGCTTCTGTAGTGCTTCCTTTCCTCATAAACTAGTCCTTGAGGCTCCCTTTTTAATTGAGTGAGATGGGTGATGTTTCCCTCTGCAAAGCACCTGTCCTTGGGTTTGGTGCAAAGTAGTTTTAGGGTGCTGTAAATCGACACAACAGCTTGACCCAGAATCGCAGAATGGTTGAGGCCAGAAGGGACCGCTAGAGATCATCTCGGCCAACCCCCCCTGCTCAGGCAGGGTCACCTAGAGCACATTGCACAGGATTGCATCCAGACAGCTTTTGAATGTCTCCAAGAATGGGGAGACTCCACAACCTCTCTGGGCAACCTGTGCCAGTGCTCAGTCACCCTCACAGCAAAGAAGGTTTTCCTCATGTTCAGACGGAGCTTCCAGTGTTTCAGTTTGTGCCTGTTGCCCCTTGTCCTGTCGCTGGGCACCACGGAGAAGAATCTGACCCCATCCTCTTGCCACCCTCCCTTCAGTTACTTATACATATTGATCAGATTTCCCCCCCCCCCCCCCCCCCTCCTCCCCTCCCCACCCGAACCCAGCTCTCTCTGCCTTTCTTCATAGGAGAGATGCTCCGGTCCCTTAATCATCTTTGCTGGACTCGCTCACTGGGAAGGATGGGGAAACTTATTCTCTCACGTTCTCTGCGTGCTTGCTGTCAGGTCTTAGGGTCACCCAAAACTTTAACCCTATATCGCATCCTCCCTTGCAAATGAACGTTTGCTGTAAGAGACCTGGCGCATCTTCTCCAAAGTGCCAGATTCTTTCAAATTACTGTTTTGTTACAGCTGTTGATATCGAGAGTATTGACAATTCAGCCTGGACTCCTCCTAAATGGGAGTAGAGGTTGTGCTGACTTGATTAACAGCTTGGTCTTGATGCCAACTATCTGTTTCAGTTTTGTGCTTTAAATGCTATTTCTTAATTGTAACAGGATAATTTCCCACATGTTATTTATAAAACTGCAGCAGCAAGGTTAGAGCAGTTCAGCCAGCTAGACTGGGTTAACTGTCATACTGGAGTAACAGAAAAATTAGTCCTGCTTTTATGCCACTACTGATTCCCTTTTTCTTGGGAAGACTGTGAAATCTATCACTGGAAGTTTTTAAGGAAAGGGTTAATAACAAATATTGCTCAGAAATGACACAGGAGCACTGGTAGTGCCTAGGAAGGAGAGAAATGAATTGCAGAACCTGCAGTGGTCATGTTCTGTGTCTCACTGCTGGAGTTGTCCAGTGCTACTGGCTGTTGCTGGCTTGTCCTTAGCCAGAGCTGTAACATTTTACATATATTTTTGGCAAAAGGCAAATGTTTCTGTGCCCTCTATTTTTGCTATTTATTTTTGTTAATTTAATATTGTCATGTTGTCCTGGTTGTTAAATAATGCCAGTAAATAACCGGGCTGCTGCTGTGTAAGCGTCAAATGTGGATATGTTTTAAATGATTCATTCTTCCTTTCAGCCACCCTGCTCTCCATCTGCCTTTACCAAGCACAGAAGTTTGAACCACAGATTTCATCAGACTTAACATTGGAGATTTGCATAGCTTTAGCTGTTAACCACTTGAGAGATGAAGTAAATCCCAGAACTCAAGGACCTCATGAGGTAAAGGCAGCTCAAGGCACTTATCCCATGTTGGCTATCCCTACAGTCCTCCTGCAAGAGAAATGGCAGATATTTTCTGGCCTGAGGAAGTGTCCAATGAGACAGTTGCCAATGCCAGTTCAGAATTCAGCTTGGAAGCAGACTTCCAGTATCCCCTCTTTACTGTCATCTACAGCCTTGTCTTTGTGCTGGGACTAATAGAAAATGTCTTAGCTCTGTACCTCTTGTCCTGCAAAGTAAAGCACATCTCTCATTCGTATGTATACATGATTAACCTGGCCCTGGTAGACACCTTGTTTGTTTGTGTGTTGCCTTTTAAAATTCATTACCACCTGAATCTGAACAATTGGATCTTTGGTGACATGGCTTGCAGGATAACTGGGACTTTGTACTATATCAACATCTATCTGAGCATTGCCTTTTTCACCTGCATTTGTGTCGATCGTTACATTGCAGTGTTGCACCCCTTCACGTATATCCAGATCAAAGTCACTCATTATGTGGTGGTGGTCACAATCCTCTGGATGGTAGCTGTCAGTGTCATGGTTCTACTCATCCTTGGAGGTCCCCTCCACAACAGTGGTGTAGGGAGCAAAACAGCATGTTTTGAGAACTTCACTACCAGTATATGGACTTATCGCATGGCATCTTACAACATCGTGGCCTTAGTTTTCGGTTTTGTGATCCCTTTTTCCATCATTCTGATCAGCTACCCTCTCATTGCCAAGCGGATCTCCCAGATCAAACGCAGCATTCGCAAGAGGAAAGCCCTGCGCACTATCTACATCATCCTGTTCATTTGTATCTTCTGCTTTCTCCCATATCATCTCACTCACTTGCTCCACTTCTTAATGAGGCTTCAGGTCATCCAGAATGCGCCATTAAGCAACTTGATCTACAAAATGCGAAGGGTCACCTTAGCTCTGGTCAGTTTCAACTGTTGCTTCAACCCACTCTTGTACTACTTCACCTCTTCCAGTAAACAATGGCACTTCAACTTCAAGCTCCGATTCAGGTCTAAAGGCGTGTACACGATCTGTGACCAGAAATTTGGGGACTACTCTTGCACTTATGTTTATAAGCTAGAACGGCGACATGGAAATAAAAACCATGGAGATGGGATCAACTGACCTACTTAAAGTAAGTAAGTACGTACAATATTCATCTTTCCAACTGTTGCTTTGAAATCAGACCTTTGACACCTACCACTGTTTGTTTGATACAGTGGTTATATTAAGGGAACATGCTAAGGAAGTGCCTAACAGCTATATATTATTATTAGCCAGCTAAGACTGTACTTGGGGGAGCTGCACTTTCCTGTAGCCCTAGATACTAGCCCGTTATGACAACATGGGGGGGGGGGGGGGGCCCGTGGC